GGCAAAGAAAAAGAATAGTTATGTGAATATATATATATATCTATAATCTGTACGTAAGAGAACAAATGACAGTAAAAATATATAGCATAATATAATATAATAGGTAAATAATATCTAGTCATAAGTAGCTAAGTTTAAATAAATAAAGAAATGTACATACAAATGGATAACAAATAAGGAGATTATGAATGAAAGATAGAAATGTATAGTAGGGAAAACACTAACTGCAAAGAAACCGATTCGAAACTGCTGTATGATATACGATGGAACTTATTGTTCCTATGTTGTTTCTAATGTTATGTGTTTGTTTTTGTTGATGTGTTTATGTGTTTAAAATAAAAAATTTATCCTGGAAAAAAAAATATTGCTAGTATGTCTACTACTCTGAATAAAAGGAAATGTGGCCCACAGGAATGTAAGAGGTACAGCTGAGGCTGGCAAAAGACAGAATAGCATCCAACAGTTTCCTCTCCAATGCATTATAAGCAAACCCAGGCAGATTATGTTGGCATTTGAAGCAGAAAATGTCAGAAGATGTTCATCTTTCCTGCCCTGATTCATTGCAGTTAATTTGCTGCCTTTCCATGATAAAGATCTCTCTTTTTTTCCCAATATGCAAAGACTTAGAAAATTCCTGAAAAGGAAAAAAAAAGTGTTATCATTCGGATTTGCATACTTTTTGCACTGCAAAGAATCCAATAAGCTACTTTTTTTCAACAAAGAAAGAAGTAACGATTTGGTTTTGGGCTCCTCCTTAAGCAACCTGAGTTTAGATCCAGTTGAGCAATGGAGCAGTAGATGCAGACTTAATACGGTTGCTTACTCAAAATTTACTCATCTGATTATAGTGCAGCTTTTGGTCTAAACATTTACATTCCAAGATATTCAGAAGGACCTATGACAAAGGTGTGAAATATAAGAGTTGAAGTGCAATTCCCATTAACCAGACATGTTGGTTAAAAGTAAAATCATTCCCGGCTCTACGAGGTGGTGCACATCTCTGTTTCTAAGCCGAAGAGCCAGCGCAGTCCAAAGTCATCTCCATGGTCATGTAGCCATCATGACTAAACATCAAAGGTGCACAGAACACTGTTACCTTCCCACGAAAGGTGGTTCCTATTTTTCTACTTGGATTTTTTACATGCTTTCAAACAGATATGTTGACAGAACCTGGGACAAGTAACGGGAGCTCACTCCGTTATGCGGCACTAGGGATTCAAACTGCTGAAGTGCCGACCTTCTAATCAACAAGCTCAGCATCTTAGTCACTGAGCTACTGCATCTCTAGAAATGTTGGTTAGAAACAACCAAAGTTCAGGAACAATTGAAGGCCTCAAATTTGTAATCCTTGCCCTATAATATTTATATTGTTTAGAGATCCAACAGAATCCACCATAATATATTCCCCATTTAATTTTTACCATACTGATACCATGGTCCTTTTTGCCCCAGCCTTCATACTGAACCAAAATTGATACAAAGCCCAAGTTGGTTTGATCAAATCCTGAATTTGAAAGTAAACACTGCTCATAAAAACAATATTTTATTTTATTTATTTTTGTATAAAGTTTAGATAGCCTTCCATCTCACCAAATGAAGTAAGATCTAACATTTTCTTATATTTATTGTATTTCGGAGGATTTTTTTTTATTACTGTGGATCATAATTGATGATTAGGTAGATTATGGTAGAGTTTGAAACTGAGGATTGTTTGCATCCAGTTATGATGCAAACTGGGGCATCATGAACTATTTTAAAATAGGTATTTATTTATCCCTTGCATTTGTAACTCTGCAAATGCTGTGTCTTTACAGGCTCTGCAAACATCAATGACAGAAGCATGTTGGGGAAAAGAGACAGTGAAGTGGCTGTCATTGTGGAGGATACCGACATGATTCCTTCAGTGATGGATGGGGAAGACCTCAAAGTAGGAAGATTTGCCCAGTCTCTTCGCCTTCAGTGCTTTAGGTACCACAGCTGACAGAAAAGACAGAGTAAAACCAATCTACAAAGGATTTACAGTCATTTGATTGCCTTAGCATCCACAGAGTAGACAATTCTGTGTTTAGCTATTCGGCCAGGTCTTCCATTTAGAAGTGGGGTCTATTCTCATTTGTAGGTATATTAAAGTAAAGGTGCTTTTCCAAAAAGCAACTGGACTTTCTTGTTTATTTTTCTGTGAAAACATTTCTTATCCAAGTAGCTTCCTCAGTTCTGATCCTTTGGAACAGGGGTGTCAAACTCAAGGCCCATGGGCCAGATCTGGCCCATGAGAGCTTCTTAGATCTGGCCCGCGGGACCGTCCTGGAAACAGCAATGCACTGGCCCGCAGTGCCTCTGTCAGCAAAAATAGAGCTCGGGAGAGTCACGCACAGCCTTCCCGGGCCCCTTTTTCACTGGCAGAAGGCTATCAAAACAAAGGAGAAATGTTTCCCCTTTTCCATTTGAACATCCAAGAAGGAACAGGAAAGGAAAAAGGGAAAGAGGAGAGATGCAGAAAACGAAGGGAAGATGGGAAGAGAGCAAGGAAGGAAAAATAAGGAAAGGGGGAGAGGAAGAAGAAAGGATGAACTGGGAAGGAAAAAGAAGGGAAGGAAGGAAAAAGAAGGGAGTGAGGGTCTGAGGGAAGTCTTGCCTTAACACTTGGCCACCACAGGTGCCCCCGACACAAGTTGAGCTGGCCAAGCCCACCATGGCCACGTCCACCCCAGCCCCCCAAGGTCAAACACAATCCTGATGTGGCCCTCAATGAAATTGAGTTTGACACCCCTCCTTTGAAACAACCATGACCTGAATAGTTGAGAATCTCCGTAGATAATGTATTAAGATGGTCCTCAACTTACAACCAGAGGTGGGTTGCTGCCGGTTCGGCCCAGATCGCCTGAACCAATAATAACAGTGGCGAGAGGTTCTGCCCGCCCACCCGGATGCTTCTGCGCATGCTCAGAAGTGTTGCATGCCTGGGCGAGCACGCATGGGAGCGTGCCTGAACCGGTAGTAAAATAATTAGCAACCCACCTCTGCTTACCATCATTTGTTTAGTGACCGTTTGAGGTTTCAGCAGCCCTAAAAGAAATGGTTTACAACTAGTCCTCCCACTGCTGACCATTGCAGCATCCCAACAGTCACTTGATTGAAATTTGAGGTTTGGAACTTAACGTATCTTTACAATGGCTGGACAAGATAGAACCTGCCGCCTATCCTGAAAAAGGGAGTTTTCTACCCATTAGACCATAACCTGGATGAATGGTTTCACCTTTCATCTTTTCCTTTTACAAGCTCTCATCATTTATTCAGCTTCAGAATCACTTAGTAAATATAGCCTGGCTTCTCCCTATTTTGAGTGGGGGAGAGGTTTAATTGTCTTTTATAATAATTGCCTGCTTGTTCAAAGTTCTTCCTTTGAAAAATTGTTCAGAATTAAAGCTGCCACTGTCAGAGTGGGAAAGATAATTAGCAGACCTTCTTAATTTGCCCCTGCCATCTAACTGGGCAGATAAGCAGGAGAGTAGCTGCCACAAAGTTAACTGCACATTGCAGAGACTTTGAAATCCGGGCCTTTTCCACCGCCTACTGTGAATGTCAAGTCAAGAAAGCCATAGGCATTTGCAGAAGGCAGGTTGAGAAAGCAAACTGGAAAAGGTGCATTGCAACACAAACACCACCTCAGTTGTATTGTATGAGCTACAACAGGAGCCAGTTTGGTCTACTGCAGAGGTCAACAACCTGCAGCTCTGGAGCCGCATGTGGCTCTTTCATCCCTCTGCTGCAGCTCCCTGAGGCTCAAATATGCGTCACAACCTCCAATGGGCGACACTCCCCAGCACACAATTTATTGAGCTTTTCGACCCCCAACTATGGATAAATCCAAGAACAGAAAAGTTTCAGAAGAAAACAGAATGTTTAATTCAACAACTACATACGCTAGTTTTGTGGCTGCTCAGGCACGGGAAGGGTTTTGTGGCTCCTGGTGTTTTATTTTCTGTGGGAAAGGGATCCAAATGGCTCTTTGAGTATTTAAGGTTGCCGACCCCTTGTCTAGTGGTTCATCTAGCACGCTAGAAACCAGGGGACTCCTGGTTTCCATTAGGCATGAAAGCTAGCTGGGTGACTTTGGGCCCATCACCAGGAGACTGTGAGTTCTAGATATGAAAGCCAGTGGGTGACCTTGAGCCAATCACCCCCTCTCAGCCCAACCCATCTCACAAGGTGGTGGTTGTGGGGAAAATGGGAGGAGGAAGGAGTATTATGTATCTGTGGAGATCCGGAATCACTCAGTTCATGGTTGTCCCAAAAGTGTTGTTCAAAAAGCAACTGTACTTCCTTGGGTTTTTTACCTCCCAATTACCTCCCAAAGACCCATTAGATCGCACAG